CTTGAGCCCTCACATTGAAATTTCTATTATATTTTTCTGAAAGGAAATTTTCAGCTTTAGCCTAAATATCTTACTAAGCAAAAAAGTCTATGTAATAAATGGATGCTTATATATGCAAAGAGCAGTATTTATTAAATAAGCTAAAATAAAATTAAACATGAATTTAGTTTTTACTTCAGCACTGGTTGTAGCGGATTTAAAGTTTTAAATGGCTTTTTAAATTTGAAACAAGCTAGAAAAGTGAAAAAATATGAAAAACCTTGTGAAAGTATTTACTATGTAAATAGCACTGCAGTAAAACTAGATCTGAATTTTAAGCATAGAAGTACACTTATCTACAACTGTCAAACAGCATATCCCATTAATCATTATAAGAAGAACAAGAAACTTTTAAAATGGTATTTTCATACACAAGTTTCATATGGAAATACACAGATGCTGCAGAAGCATAACTATTTTAACTTATTTGCTACTTATGCATAGATAATTATAGGTGATTTCTAAACTTATCAAAAAGTGATTAAGAAAAAGGAAACAGAGAAAAATCAGAACTCTCTCAGGACTCGGTAAAATTTCTGTACAAAGATTTCCATGAATTTTAAGGGTTATCAGAGCAGACATTTGGTGACACAACTGGAAAAGAACGAGCCAGAATCAAAGGGCCATGAGAAACAGAAGGTAGGAGTTTCCAAAAACCTCTCTTTCAGAGGCATAGTATGGCAGCAGAAGTTGTGTATCTTGGGTTTTCTCAAGAAGAAATCAAAAAACAGGAGAACAAAGGGTCAGAGTCATTAAATCCAGAGAAAAGATAGAAAGCTTAGAGTCTACTCAGAATAAGATCATAATTGCTCTCAAGACACGATGCCTGCGCCCAAGCTATGGTAACTATAAGTTACTGACAGTTCCCTTTTTCATCACCATTTTTAAACTGGCTACAGTAGCAGGTCTCACATACTATACTTTCTACTTTCTGTAGAAAGTAGAAGACTCAGCCAGTGCCTCATATACACACTTTAGGGAAGTAAATAGGAATGAAAAACGAGGAGTAAGATGTCCATAACCGACACAAGAAAACAGATACGCAGTGCTCACTGCACCTTTAAATGCAGAATACTCCCTGCTGCAAAAAATCCCATGTAGTGTTTCGGTTCAGAAGCAGTATGTTGCAATTCCTCTTTGATTGGGTTTTTTTTTTTTTTCCCCTCAATCTAGAATAAAAGTAAATCAACTTGAAAAAGAAAAGCCAAAACTAAAAAAATGGTTTTGCTCTTTATGCATAGCAACAAAACCATGACAAGGAGATTGATGTCTCTATTAAAGAACTAAGTGAGGGAAATCATGTCTCAGTTTTCCTCTGGCTGTGGAAAGCTCTTTTTTTTTCCCCCTGAATACTTCACAGACCAACGTTGGGTCTGAACCAAAATAAATAAATAAATAAATAAATAAATAAAGCCCCTTCTTCTGGCAGTGTAAATTTAAAACCACAAGCAGACAAAGTAATCATTTAGCTTTGAAGACCGTAAAGAAAACAGTAAAATATTCCAGTCAACACCCAGCCTCCCGAAAGACTAGCTTCAATGATCCAAACCCTTCCGTGTGCTTGCCTGACAGCCTCTTTGGGACAAGGCAGAGGATGAAAATGACTTGTGCTTTTCTGTGTTTGATTGTTTGTTTTCAGTAAAGAAGTCTAACTAGCCATCTTTTTTCAAATCACCTGCCACACAGGCAGCTGCGGTATCCATCATAGTGAACGACTGGGAAGATTCTGGGTAACAAGATGAGGATTTTTTAAAATTACTAATAGATATTTGAGGAAAACATCAGGACTGCAGTTTAGATCACTGGTTACAGATACCCTTCCTCTTCTTTACGGCTGCCCGCACTACGTCACGGAAGCTGATATTTCACTTAAAGAAAAACAAGGGAGCTCTCCGGTGAAAACCTTTAACGTTTGCCTCTTACCACTTAAACTCCTCCAAAACAATGGACTTCCACACATTTTGAATCTGAAATGAATCTGTTACTTCTGAAAATAAAAATAAAAATAAAAATAAAAGCAGGAAAGACCTCTATCTGCCACTTTATAAATTGAAACAGTGCTGGGGGTAGTCAGAAGAAGGAAAGCACATATAAAGAAAATATCCGTTTGTTCCTGTTAGCGTAGTCCCTCTACCCCTTGGACTGCAAGAGCCTCAGAGACTGGAGGTCAGTGCAAATAAACAAAGCTGCCCTGCATTCCCCGTTTACAATTTGAGGAACAATAAAACTGTAGGTCTGACTGACGTGTCTAGCAGAGCCCATGTAATTTGGACATGATTGCATAAAGCCTTTTTCCTTTTTGTTTCCTCTCCTCCTTCAAGAATGTCTACCTCATTTATATCCACAAATTAAAGTATAAAAGAAACAAAACCCGCATATCAGAACCATTAAATGATAACACTGATATCTATCAGTCATTAGAAGAGAAGTATAACCTCTAACCCATTCTTCCAGGAAAAATATCTGAATTTTCTCAGGCAGTGAATCCACTTTCCAAATTCTTTATGAACCATAGTCAAAGGCCATATTTTTTAAAAGCAAACTGAACTTTGAATCTGCACTAGACAGAGAATCCATAAGCCAATCTACTATCAAAAAAGAGAACTATGGATAAACAAGTATTGTAATTATCATGTCTCAAGAGGCTTTTTTTTTTTTTATTAACACCAATCTCAAAAGACTGGTATTAGATCGTAAATACTCATATGGACTAAACTGAACCTGATCTGAACTATAGGATGTTCTTTACATTTTTTGAGTTCAGGTATATAAAAATATCTTCAGTAGATACTCTCAGCATGTGTATTCATCGTAAAACTACTAAAAGTACACAAATGCGTGAAAGAACAGCTAAAAGAAAATGATCATTCTTCACTAAAATTAAAACCAGAAGTTTCAACTTAATATAACCCTATTTTTTTCACAGGTGAATGTTGCGGAACAATAAATACATTTATGAACAAAAACCTGGCATACATTATATGTCTATTTCATTTGAAATATATGAAATAATGTATTGTACAATGTCCTGGTCTGTATAGTTCTTGCATATTGAAACAGTAGAAAGAACTTATGTTAGAAAGCACATAAAAATGTATTCATATCTAGCATGAACTACATCAATGCCTGAGAATGCATTGGAAACTTGAGCCTCCTCTATTTTCTCCACTAATATCAATACCCATTAGCACATTAAGTCAGAGAAGTTATTTTACTATGCAAAAATCAGCTTCTTATGGAGCAGTATTAGGTACACATAAGATTAAATGAAGTTTGTGAATACCAACATAACTTAGAAATAATAAAGGCACTTCCGAATATAATACTACTGTTCTTGTAACTAGATTTAAATTCTGAGTTTTAATTATACTGCTAGTCAACACAATTCACTTCTGTACAGTGGATTGGATGTGATCTACTAGATAAGAATCAGTTCTTAAGGCAATGGAGGAGATCATGACTGTAAGCATCTAGTTTTAGGAAATGTTCCCTCTCTCCATCTATAAATACCTACCTATTTATCAAATTTATTGTCTATCTTATATAACCGCATAAATAATAACCACAAGGTTTACCCACTGCACTTAGTCAACAACAAATTCAGCTTATAAGAACAGCCTGTAGCAAATATTTTGTTGGCATAATGAAACATTGTGAAGGAACCAGTAACAAATGATGGAAAAAAAGAACAACTTTTCTGGGTTACCGAGCGTTGTCACCAAATTTCTAACTTTAAAAATCGCAAAGAGAGTCTACTACCATTTATTGATCGATTCTTCTGCAATTAAAGTGTATTTGTATATCTATAATTGCAACCTCTATAACAGGTACTAGTTATCTCATTAATGAGGATGATATTAAGCTCCACAGGGTCAATGAGAAGGGGCAGATTCTGCAGAAGAGTAAGTTAGAGTGTAAGCCCAAGTTAGGTGCTTCACCACAATATTTCTACTGCCACCGTAGCTTGACTTTCATTTTAAGACTCAAATCTTACCAGCCAGATCATTCAAGTAAGTATGCATAATTGAGGAGCAATGTGACCCCACCACTGAGTGCTGGTTTCTGTTTTCCAAGACTAGGCGCTGAGAAGGTAAAGGGAACACGGCAACTCTGTGATCCTGTCAACTGAAATGTGCACTAGCAGTTTCCTATCCAGGAGAGCTGCAGAAAGTCCCAGTGTCAAGGAACAGAAATTGAGAAATTACTCTGCTTTTTTAGCTTCTGATAGCTGTAATTCCAGAACAGAGAATACAGAGATCCTGAGGCAGTCTCCTTGTTATAGATCTCAGCTACTTTTCTAGCTGCTACAGCAGCAACAGATAGCTTGCTCCGATAGTAGGGTGAGAGATGACTCAATACCTCACTGTGCATCAGAAAGTTGCTGCATGTCCAACACTTCTGAAGGCTGAATGATGCACACAGGGTAGTCTGTACCAGAAGGAGCGGCCATAGTGGTGCACAAAGCCATATAGACAGCTTCTGAATGAAAAATTTGGTTTTGCCCAAGTGCAGTGCAGTGTGGATGGAATTCATGTCACCAACGTATTGCAATGTGGGTACAATAGTGGGAGCCTCTCAGGTCGCAAATCTCAAGCCTGGACTTACACACCTTCATTCAGCTACTAAAATCAGGCAATATGAGTCTGTGAGTAGACTCTTAATTCAGCCACTGTAAGTATGTTAAAATTAGAATTCTATGTTGCTCATAGTTTAAAATTCAAAAGGGAATTGACTTCAAAAAGTGTATATACATAAGTAAAGTTACTCTATGCCCAATATTTATTCAAAATCCTTTCCAACCGCAGCTGGGCATGTTGTTTCTAACTCCCAAAGTCCAGTGCAGAACAACGGATACAAAGAACAATTGCCATTGTTAAAGGTAACAGGGGGAGCTTTCATCCAAAGCATACTATATATCCCGCAGATGCTAGTTTAGCTCCCAGTGCTAATAGTGAAAAATAATGAACAAAATGAGTGAATGCTGAAGCATAGATGCGCACAGAAAAGGAATCCAATAGCATCTCCATGACAGCAGGAAACAGCTGATTTTACAAAGAGAACAGGTATGGCATTTATTTTTTTACTTGCACATCTGCCTTCCTTCCCTCTAAACTTTAGGGCTTGTTTTTGACTTCCTTGGGCTGTGCCTTTTCAAGAGGGAGAATGCTGGTCTCAATGGTAGCACAAGCTTAACTTCCTCATACATAAGAAGGGGTCATATAGATAATGACAAAATTCATTAGTGTTGTATAGCGGAGATAAATGCCACTAATGTCTGGTTCAGTCGTATAACTGCGGTGTGATAAGAAGTAACATTATCAATTATGTGTCTACCTATTTAGGGCATTAGGAACAGATTATCAAAAGCATATTACATTAAGTGTCCTGCAGTTCTGAGAAAGTGCTGTGCACATTTAAAGAGTAAGATTGATAAATGGAAGTGATCTATGGTTCCTTATACCTGGCCGTTACTGCATCATAATAGCTAGCATATTCCTAGTTTTCTTACTCTCACTTTTATCTTTTCATGTATTTTCCCTAATTTCAAATAGTCTGTATTGTCCTGAAGACTGTCTCTGTTTGTTTGAAAGGGTGTGCAGGTTTTCCAAACTAACCTGTCTCATACGCTGGATTGTGTAAAGAACATTTGCAACTAATTGAAAACACACATACACTTCACAGATGAATGCCTCAGTCATTATCTTTCAATTACAAATCTTGGCTCCCTCTATTTTTTCAGCACCTGATTTTGAAAACATCTTCAAACCCTGGCTGAGAAATTCAATAGCTTGTGTAAGATCTGGAAGGTGAAGGATACTGAGTTTTGCCTCTGCGTCATGTCCTAGTTATGGGAAAACATAAGTGTTACATGTTTGCACTGACTGCAATATGACCAATATTTAAATAGAGCCGACATATCAGCCTCAGGAGAACCAGAGTATGAAAGCAGCAATCAAAAAGGCTGCTATAGCTTGTACCAGGGTCTGCTCTGGCCCCAGCAAGAAAAGGAGAGTTTATAAAGGAAATCATAGACCTTTGGCAATTCTGTTCTTAGTTACTGCAGCAAACAGTGCTGACCGAATATTAAGGTATGGCTCACAGAGATTGACCCAGGACTCACTGAAGATGTTTTACACTTGCTTCAGCACAGACTATACTTGATCCACCTCATCAGAAGTGATAACCTTTAGCAACTATCAGGATATACAGATTCCAAAGCCTTCAAAATTCTCTTGCTTACATTTTTACTGTTGATACTAAAGTATTATTCTTCAAAAGCAAGTGTTCCTATTTAGGAAATAGCTACGGATAACTAATTGGAAATTTTGTAATGACATTTTTTGAGGAGGGAGAATTTTATTGAAAGTAATATGAATAGATGAGAAAATAGACATATTCATAAATTTATACGTTTTAAACTGGAAGAAAATAAACTCCTTTTATATTATTAATGCATATTACAATGTTATATTATTCATACTTTAACATTTTCAAGTTTATTTGTTTCAAATGAGTTTAAGTTTCAGAATGTATTTTGTTTTAGGAAAAAAATAAGATTTAAGATGTTAAAATTAACTATTATTTGACTAGATCAAATATTTAAAAGATTATCAAGTCATAATTGTGTTCTATGATTATCTCATCCTCATATAATTCAGGAGCACTGTAAGACAGGGAAACAATTTTTTATGGTTAACAGACCAAAATAAAAAAAAAGTGAGTAAATTGTTTAAACATTATTTTTCTATTTGTTACCAAAGATTTTCTTAATTTGTCTATTCAGCTTCATAAGCAAAACAGATAAAATACTGCAACTCATTTTATGCTTTGCGTTATCACTGTCACTAGATTTGGTTTAAAATAAGATCACGTAGGTCAAAACTGATCAGAAAGTTATTTGAACGGTAACTGGAAAAACAGTCTTAATAATCAGAAGACAATATGTTCTTTTTCTCATATTAATTATATTATAATTAATTCTGGAGCTTACAATTATTCTAGAGCCAAGGTAGTTCTGCTCTGATCAATATAATCAATTTATCCAAATTGTCATTGATCCATCTGATCAAAGAAAGGCAGTATATGATGTAACAACAGAGTACTGTATTTAGTGATTCATATACTCTTTCCATCCTGAGAACACAGAATTCCACAAAAGCAGGGGAAATAGGAGTATTAGCCTTCTGTTCAATTTGATCCAAAAATTATAGACCCCTATACACCATGTCATACTAGTTTTACTATAACTGACGCTCTGCTCTTCTAATGCTTGTCCAGGGTCAGAAGAGAATTTTTCCATTCACTGCTTTCGTTTCAGTAGTTAGTAGTAAAGGTGACCAAGCAAGGAAGGGCTTCAGCATTCTGGTTTGGGGTCCTTACACGGTAGGCAATTGGTCCAGCTATCCTTTTATTCTGGCCCACTGCAAGAAGGCTCATGTTTCCAAATCTAAAAGACGGGAGTAAAACAAAACAAAACAAAACAAAACAACCCGCCTCCTCCCTCCCCCCGCGCCAAACTTGCTAGTTCTTTTCCACGGGAAAGGAGCATAAAGATACGTGGTAACTGTAATCAGAATCCATGTCTCTTCTTCCCTACTGTGGAATCATGTTTTTGTCCTTGCATCCCCTCTGACCTAAAAGGTTTGCAGATTTTTGTGAGTCTGGCAAGCATTTAAGATTTTCCTCATACAAAGGTGTTGCAAACTCTGTCTCATTACAATAATTCATTATGATGTTCTAAAAAGAATTATAACTGTGAGAATTAAAGAACAATGGGTAAACTCTTTAATGCCTTTGTGAAATGTTTCTAGAAACTTTCCTCTGCAGGTATGGTGGGGATGGTTGTTCTTTTTTTTTCCTTTTGGACTATGATATGAAATTATGTACCTCACAGAATGAACAACAAAAACTGCATGATTTCCAGTCTAATATCTGGTTTTCCATAGCCTAAATCTGGTGTTATCCCCCTCATGAAGCAAACTGATTTGCTTTTTTCTTTCACAGAAAAGGCTTTCTTCACACTGTCTGCCTAGATGTGCTTAGTCTTCCAGTTAGATTACTCCATTTACTTGCTTAAGAGCTATGTACTAGCCATAACTATTCATTCTTCGCTCCCTTCAGGGATATAAAAATAAAGCCACACTTCCCTTTATCAATTTGTTAAAGTACAGGATGACTCAGTTGCACCACTATAAAGCTTATCTATCTGGAAGCTTTAGTATATTGCAGTACACAAAAGTTGTACAACTGAACAGCATATTCAGTAGCAGCGCGCACTGTGGCTATGATATAATCCCACACTTGCCTCAGAAGCAAAACACTGCCATCAGCACAGTTCAGTCTCAAGCTTCTGTAAACAAATCTGAACCCTCAGTCTATTTTCCTAGCAATAGATTGATGTGAGACACCAAAAAAAAAAAAAAAAAAGAAAAGAAAAGGCTAGCCATTGCCTTTCCAGTCTGTCAGGTCAACGGTCCGCAAGTTAAAAAGCATTCATGCCAAGAATTAGAATAGATTGGAGAGGTATTTCTTTTTCTTTTAGTGTACTTGAAAATTAGGGTCCATGATGGAAATCTACGTATGTGTTGGATTTTCTAGTTTGTTTTGTTTTGCCTTTTTTTTCTTGTAATAAATCTGTCTTTTCAAAATTTTCATACATATAAGCTTCTAAATAATATACCAGAACATCATAAAGGAGATACTGAAATCTATCAAAAGTATAAATGATTTTTAAATATTAAATGCATTTTAGCAACTTCCTAAGTAAATATTTACACAAAATTATTATTTACTATAAATCAAATCTTATGCTCGCACAACATACTTTATTAAAGTGAAGGATAACACAGTGAAATTAAACAAGAAGAAAGCTGTCAGCTAAAATGAGACTGCTTTTCATTAAGTTCAGCTCTGGTTATCATTCTGCTATGCAATAACAGATTTGGGACGTTGCAGGTCAATTTATAACAGGAGAAGTCAGTAAATTGAATCCTGGTTTTTCTTTAAAATAATTTACTTATAAAATAATTTACTTATAATTTACTTATAATTTATTTATTTAAAAAAAAAAAAACTGGTATATTTACATATATAAATTATTTTGAGGAATTTTGATTAAAGGATTAATGATAGTACTCCTAGAAGTAGAATTATATAAAAATTTACTTAAACAGAACATACTTTTCAGATCTTCACCACAAGTTCACCAAAACACTGGCAACCTAATGTGCTCCTTCTTCCATTCTTCCAGAGCTATGATCCTCTTTCTTTGCATACTGCAAAAGAGAAATGACAGTACTGTATGTATAAGCACAATCTAGAGGCCTTGTGTGTCATCTTTCCTTGCTTAAATAATATTGAAACAAAGTTAGACATGATTGCTGACCTTTTACATGTAATAGCAACGAATCTTAACTAATAGGATTTCTTATATTTAATTCTAATAACTTCTAGTACTCAATTTAAGCTTGGTAAAATCACATTTTGGTATTAAAAGTGCCTTTCTTTGTGAAAATATTGCATATTCCCCTTTCTGATATGTATCAAACCTTGCCAGTTCATTCTTAATTTGCATAGACCCTATGGAAGTAATGTGACAGATCCAGTTAAAAGCACAAAAGACCTAAATGATTTAGATTTAACAGAAATAAATATCTTTTCTAAGGTACCTAGCAGGCCTAGCAAACCACCAAAGTGTCTAAAAAAATCTCCTTTATTGGCTTGGAATACATACTGCTTAGTGAATGAACAGCACTCTCATTGTATTATATGAAGTAATGTTTAGGCTATAAAGGATTTTTTGTTTGATTTTTTTTAAAGAGTGTATGTGTGTAATTGCGTGCATATGTGAGTGTGTGTGTGCATAGCTTAATTTTAGTATTATCTAACTTGTTCTCATACAAAACTGCATTACTAGACACTAGATGTGATGTCACAAGAGAACAAACTGCCTCTTCTAACTTGTTTTAACCTTGCTACCTTTCACTTGGGAGTCAACAATTTTGTCTAAGCAGCTGTCTCATTAGGCTACAGGCAAATCTAGTACAATCAATATAGACTTTTT